CAATATGCTAAAAACAACTTCTCACCCTTTTACCACATTTCAAATGGTATCATCATCGGAATTATGGTATAAACATTAAATTTTAATTATTTTTGTACGTTTATAAAACCATTTTACTTGTATTTTCAATTAAAGCTAATTTTTATAATCAGAATTTTTTTTTTGAAACAATAAATCAGAATAGTTACGTAGATCTATTAAATCAACATAGTTGGTGTAGAATAAATGAAGTTGATATGGTTAGTCTGATTAGTAGCATGGTAAAATTAAGAATTGAGCTAGCTAAGAGTAATTGTTTTTACAATTTTTTAAACTATATTTAGTAATTCGATAAATAATGTAATGGGATTATATATGGAGTCTAACAAAAGTATGATGATCTTTTTAGGGATTTCATTTTCTTAATTAAGGGCAATGCTAAATGGTTTAATGGAATAACTAGGACGTTACTTTGCTGTATTATATGTTTTATTAGTCTAAATTATTGCAGAAATCGTGCCTAGTAACCATAATGGAAAGCATATGCACATGCTGCTAGACGGTTTTTGTATGATTTATAAATAATAAAAATAGCTTAATTGTTTTTTGAAAAAATAGCTAATGTTCATACGTATACGTAGAGAGGAATATATATAGCTTTCAATTGGGTGTACGCAGAGGAGGAAAACGATATATCAAATCTTACCAATAAATTGCGACATAAATTATTGAAATTAATATGACTGATGCCAAAATGAAATATTGAAATGATTTCAAAAGTTTTTCAAAATAGTTGAACAAGGAACAATATATTTGTATGGATTAGATAAAACATGTTTTTACGATATCCTGTTGCTTCTTTCATCCAAAAAGGCATCCATCTCTTTCCATTATAAATTTATAATTAACATTACTTTGTTTTGTTATCACATGGTAAGAGTGAGCAAACAGAGGTTGGGAACAAAACTTTACGAAATACACAACTTTAGAAAAATAATAATTCTTGCTTAGTTGCTTCGTTTTATTATTTTTGAAATTTTAGAGAGAAAAATGACCCAAAAAGAGAATTCTTACGAACTGTGATGGTATAATATTCATTTTTATAAGTATTTATTATATTAATAGCAATTTTATGCTAATTTAATAATAATATTATCTCAAACAAGTATTCAACTTTTTTAGCATATACATATCCAATCTTCTTTCCAAATGGAGTTTAAATTTTGTTTTAGTTGAAAATTTAAACATATACGCGGGGAATATTCATTCTAGTGTAACTAGATCAATTGTAACCAATAACTAGTGTTCCTTTGGATATCAACATAAATTTTCCTCAGGTTGATTTTTTTATTTTATTTTGTGATAGTTACTTGACATTTTTTGGACAAATACATGATGCATGATGATGACTAATAACAAGAACTTTTTTCTTTGTTTTTTCAACCTTTGTTTTGTTGAAACTTAAAACTAATGACAAGAAATCTATTAATCAATTGCAAATACAACATAGTAGTATTATTTAATTCCAACACGCATTATTAATGCACGTTCAAAGCATATAGGGACAAAGCTTTTTTAGTTTTTGTCATCGAAGGAATAAAAAGATAATCATGACAGTAGCAATATACTACAAGTGTATTTTAAAGGGTATATTTATTAATCGACAAAATTTAAGTAACACTACTAAACGTGACCGATGATGAATCATGAAATAGACATACCGTAACTTAATTAGTAAAGCTTCTCCTCCTCCTCTAAGACTACACACGTACGGTAAAAAATGATGAAAATAGCTTGTATTACTAATTAGTAATTACTATTATACTCTTTCACTATACTAGTATCATAGGAATTAAACATATGAGAAATTAAATTATACTACAATTTATACTACTAGTATTTATTTGTTTTCGATGTCCGTGCCTTCGATGCAAGAGAGAGCTATTACAACTCATCTCTCAAGTAGCGAACGGCCTGGTTCTTAAATGTGCTTCGACCTCTTAAACTCATCCATTAAATTGAAAAATTCGATTGCATAATTGTTAGTCTATCACTTAGGATTAGTATTAGATAATTTGTTATAATCATTTGACTTGGGTCAAAAACAATTATAAATTTATAATGATCGAAGCTTATAGTTTAATGGTTTACACTAATATTATCATCGTGTTATCATCTATATTCAAATCTTGTGTACAGAAATTATAAGGTTTACATTTTTCAAT